CCGAATTCAGTTATCTGCTGATGTCGTTCCCAATCAAACAGCCATATCTCAGAAACCGTTCGGAACAGAACATGTACATATATACCTTTTTGCTTAGAATGACCGATATACTGTGGACCTCACAGAAAACACGCGATGTCTCTCCGTTACAAGGACCAGCCGTCCACTGTGAGAACAGCACGACAGACAGACAGACATGCGCTTCACGGGATCGAAGAACTCAGATCACAGAGCAAAATTTATAAGCGGAGGGGCTTTGTTCGATCTAGTGGCATTTCCTGTATACCACGGCCACTTCCATCTTCATTGGACCCTATATAACCGCCATCCGCTTTAAAACAAGAACTCGCGCGCTCCATCGATCGCCTGCGAGTCATTGCTCCCAGCCTGCAGGGGTTCGTTCCCGTGCTGTGGCCTCTCGCTCCACGAACATCACGGTGTGTTGTTAGTTACGTAACAGTGGCTCAGCTCAGCAACGGTTCGCAGGTTCGATCCCATGCGTGGCCTTACTTCACAATGTCTGCTCATTAAGAGAGGCAAGCGCCCCCAGCATTCCCGCCTCGCGGCTTCATCATACCATCTGACGCTACATCAGTCACAATACAGACACTACGAATGTGTGGACATCTGCTGTGGGACTGAGCCAGGGTTGAGGCTACCCGCTTTAACCACCGACACCCTACTTACACCTCTGCCCGCGGCTTCGGCCTGTCGCGCAATGGAACTGAAGCAACCCTGACTATCCCGGTATCGGCCTGGAGGAACTGATGGGGGCCGCGACCTTGGGTGATAACACTATTGATCAGTGGATCCTGCGGGACTGTGCTGGAGTCCCCGTCAATCCCGCCCGGGGCAGTGACCGGACGCAAATAGAGGGCGCCGGGCTATATTTGCCGCGCGCACGCGCCGCGACGCTTCTGCTAACTGGGCCCTCCGCCCGGTCACGTGCGGCCTGCCAGAGAGGGAAAGTCATGGGATCAGCAGGCGAGCACTTCACAGCGGGTAGGGTGAGGTGAAGACGGTTAGTCACCGGCTTTTCAACGTGACGGCCCAGGTTCGATCCCAGGTCACATCATGCGGGATTTGTGGTGGAGGAAGTGACACTGGGGCAGGCAACACTTCAGATTTCCCTACCAGTTCTCGCTCCATCAACTGCCCCACATTCATTAATCATTCTACAATCGACACCATACACACCAAATACTGGGAGCGTCGATAAAGCGGAAGTTAAAGCAACGGCTTGAGACAGGGCCGCGGGGTTTCGGCCTGCACTTCGGTAGCCTCCAGGGAAAGGTTCGATCTTTATTAATTCAAATCGGGAGGGATGCATGTTACGCAGGCACTAGCAACTCAGCATTTTCCTGACGACAGGAAACCAGGGAGACCCGTGTCGAGATAGATGGCCGGCCGCAGGACCTACCGGACAGCACTGAAGCCTCACAGCAGCCCAGTCCGTACCTCGCAGGAAACACCAACTGGTTAACGCTAGTTATTGCGCGCGCAACACAACATAAACTCTACGCGAGGGCAGACTGCACAACGCTTTTCGTGTTAAAGTTCGCGGCAGAAATAGTTAAACACTACACCAACCAAGACATACGGCAAAGTGGAGGAACAGCTCCATAAATGGAGATTAGTTAGTCTCACGCCTCGGCCGCTTTACCCATTGGACCCCTGGACAAGAGGCTCCGGTGCGTGAGCCAGTCTGGACCCTGTGACTCCTGTAGGAATTAAAGCCCGGTTGTCTGTCTAGTGTCTATCGAAATACGTAAACACCATTCACACATTCAGCGGGTAACCTGCTGCAGTGGCACGGCAAATTTTTTCACTGACTTTCCCTCCGCGAACTCTTATTGGCCGATTAGGGGGTGGGCAGGGTGCGAGGGCGGAACAAAAATCAATACGCGCTACGACCCCACCAGCACTTGTCTGCAGCTCATCACGGGTCCTTCTTAACACACCAAGACATATGGAACACAGAAGTTCAGTACCTTGATCACAACAGCCCACTCATTCCCACGAATCCTAAAGCCACCCTCCCCTCCCGTCCTCCTGGTCCCTTCGATGCAGGTTTCCGCGACCGCGACGCTACCCTTGCTGCATTTCACATCCCGCACATCTCATGTCTCCTGATTTGTTTACCATTCTAAAAATATTTACTGAGGAGTTCAAATTGCGAAGCTCCTCATTATGCTATTTTCTCCAGCCTCCTGTCATTTCAGTTCTCTTCCCCTTACGCCCACACAAAACAGGTAAGGCTGGCACTGTAGAATTATTTTACTGGGTCAATGAAGAGCTTTGTACCTTACTGTGTGAGAATGCACAGGGTTGCAAACACCCGTGGCATGAAGATGCGCTACGAACGAGTGTAACGAAACTTCCCCTGCACGCGAAGGGTCAAGCGCACTTGGGAACCATATCCGCTGTGATTCAAGGTCACCAGTCATGCTGCTACAGAGGCTGGGAGCGTCCCGGGGTCATGACCTCACGCGCGGGGCAGGTGACATGGGCGCGCACACATATAGGGGGTCGCCAGCTCAATGTGAGGCATGCCTTTCCGAATGTGCGGTTCGTCTGAACAACCCGCTCTCTTCTGAGATGGCAGAAGTTTACAGACGTGTTTCGGAGATCATGCGGCCTCCGTCTGCAAGGCGGAGAAGTAAATCGAACAAGCAAGCAGACTACTTACAAACTTGTGCACAGGCTAACAGCATGACATCCCACATAACAGTCACCGCCGTGAAAACCCCAGATCTCACGCATAAATTCTGTTTCCACCTCAGAGAAAACACGCGACATACTCGTTACGAAGTCCAACAGGTTTATGCTGTTATAAAGAAGTTCTCCCGCTATTAAACGTGTAGGTACCCTGTGCTAATGAATTGGATCGGTCCCTAACAGGAAGCCGAGTGCTGTTACTGTCTGGCCTGGGGCTTGGGGGATGGAGGTGCCCACTTCGTATCTCGCCCGGAGCACCCGCAGACTATCATGGCAGGTCCCTCAAGCAAAATGCTTCCTTCCGGACTCCTGGCAACGCAGGCTCATGCAGACACTGCTAAGCAACGGAACTGGAACAAGGAACGCCAAGGGCACAGGAGACGTGACGTGACTGACGTAACAGCTCTCCCTTAAGGGCGCTGTCGGTAACACCGGTAACGGCGGCGAAGGAACAGAAAGGGATACAAAAGGCGGCGGCAGTGGGTTATTGTGAAAACAGGACGGCCCTGTATCGCTCGATCCGACTGCCCTCTCCGAGTGAAGGGCTGCAACCTGCTTCACGATGTTCGTCATGGTAACAGGCTCACAGATGGAGGCGAGGTTGTCAGCCTCACGCGCCGGCCGGCCAGAAAGGTTCCTGATACTCATTTCTGTTAGGGGCTTATTACACTCCACGGCCATAGTGCGGCTGAAAGGATTAGGTCAATCGAAAAATGCAATGACCTCATCGGAAATCGAACCCGCGACCTTCTAGCTTGTAGCATAGTGCCCCTATCGACACTCGAACTGCAACACCTCGGTCGTCCATCCAGTACAGGTGTTAAATGATTTACGAACATTATTATCTTGTAATATTTGAGGTTTTCACGTTGATGACTATGAAGAAAGTCTTCTGGGATGTGGCGCCGTGTAGATATTGTGTTAACAGACGTTTAGGAGGAACGTATCGCCCCCATCTTCAGGGTAGAAGAAAAAAGAAGAAAATCCGCAAGCGAGGATTATTATCGTGAAGTCGGGTGCAAGTTCACTAACAACTGGAAGGAACGTGTACGTGAACTACCGGACCGAACCTCAAACCCAGGGGCCAGGGCTGTTGACAGTTGCAACAAACAAGAGCAGAATCCAATCGGCCTCCACAACCCACGAGCTGCGCGCAATCTGCGTGACTGCCAACACAATCCGGGTGGCCACGCCGTACTTGGCTGAATGAATTACACCCGAAGGCCGCGCCAAGATGACGTAGTCTATTGTTGTACATTAATGGCGTCTAGAGGCGTATTTGGGCACGGGGACACTTGCGGGGGGTCCGGTGGACAGGAAGCAAGACGCTCATCCCTCAATCGGAGAATCTGATGTGGAAATGAGTTTCCTGGGGCTACAAGAGACAGGATTCTTTCTGTGTTGACGCTCCGGGCCAGACATGCGTGCTCTTCACGTGAACCGGATACAACCGCCACTCCGATCCGCGTGCTCTTCCCATACACGGTGCCTGTTTCACGAGGACTGAACTGGCCCAGGATGTCATCCAGATGGGTTCTGCCCTATGCAGTTACCACCAGGATAATACTAAAATGGGTTATCAACATGGACTGGACCCATCTGGTTCCGGACGGGAACCAATGCCGCGATCATGTGATTATCGTAATGAAACTTTGGTTTCCACAAAACGTAGGGGNGTGTGCACCCCCCCCCGCGAGGTCACGTCCCGTACCACAGCTGTGAGCAAGACATTAAAATCTCATGAAGATGAGGTGAGAAGTGGAGGAAAGTAAGCAACTACTACTTTACCACTGAACTAGTAACACGTCCAGTATAACAAACTTAACAGAATGGATCAGATTATATTTAATTCTATCTGTTCTATCACAGTAAATCCTCGCTAATCCGAATTAATTGTGAAAGGGGAGGTCATCCGGATTCATGAAGCAAAAGATATCCCTAAAAGACAAAAAAAAATAAATAAATAAATAAATGGAAAATGCAATAAGACAGGCAGTGCTGATGAAAATAAATAACAAAATATCGGTGCAGCGGTTTCTTCCTCTGTTAGAAGTACAATCCAGGGTCTCCTTCATCCAGCTGAAGCCAATCTTTGATATTTCCTTGCGTGGCTTCAGTCTCTCCAGCCGCCCCCCACAGAGCCTGAAAGTCCTCTTGCCCCTAAATCCCACGTGTCTTTTGAAGCACGTGCCCAACTTTCATATACTGATCCGGGTTATCGAGGATTTACTGTACTCCGAAGCGCCCACGATAGCGGGGTTCGTGTTCAGATGTAAACTCACCAGCTGCACTATGCTGTCAATTGCCCTGTTGTACCTGTCACACAGCCCCTTCATGCTGTCGAAGCTGCAACACACAAGGCAAACAGTCAGTTACCGGCTTGACGCTGCTGCAAAGAAAGTGTAGAGAAAATGATAAAGGCGGTGTACAAACGAAGCAAAGCAGAAAAAAATACGCCATAAAAATCGCCATAAAAATATAGAACTGATAAAGAGGGGGAAGGAAGGGAGCAGAAAGAAATAAAAAATAGGGAAAGCAAAATCAGAAAGACTGGAGCTTACCTCCTGGTGTCATAGTCGGCCAGAATGTTGTTCTCCATCGGCAGTTTCAGCTCTGGGAAGTCTTCACACACCCATCTGTAACAACAAAAGCGTACCTGTGAAAGCGAGCGACGTACAGTAAGTACAGCCTGGTGTTTGTTGACAGAATAGTAGTAATTCCGGGACATTCCAGCGGACAGTAGGTCTGATGTTTGTGGAAACGATAGTAAGTAGCTCCTGTGGATTCTTTCTGTAAGTTGTTACTTCAGGGCCCTGCTAGTATCTAGACTACATAGCATCGAACTGTAGGACTGATGAATGATGAACTGGAAAAGTGATCGTGGCCTATTTGCTTCGAGGGACTAAGTAAAATCACGAATTCCCTCAGTCAAGATAGCTGGTGTCGCAGCTGAGATTCGAACCCTGGGCGTTAACGTTAAGCAAACTCGCTCGGTTAGTGTGGGCTTCATATAGGCAGTAACGCAAGATAACCAGACAAATAGGCATGTTGCTACTACAAAATGAACAGAAGACTCGCGCATGCGCAGAACTGCCACCGTTCACCGACTACACACGCAACCGAACTGGGCGTCTATGGGCATTACGGCAGCTGAAGGAACCGGGCCAGTGAACCGCGTACAACGGGACGAGAACGTGCACCGCTCATCCTCAAGGACTTGGTTCGATATTCATCTGTTGCACTGTTACCGGGTAAAAGCTCTCTCCTACTTTTGACCTCACCCTGGTCTCACAGACGGATATGACCGTGTAACCTCAGCATTCGGTGGTTCGCACTGGTTACAACTTAGTTTCTGACGCGTTCGCAACGAAAAGTGGCAGAAATGCGCCAATCGGCTTCTTCGTGTCTGTCAGTCCTGATTATCATACCGTATTGTAGTCTGGTACGCGGTTTACCATCGTTTCGGAGAGACATACAGCCTTCATCTTCAGGGCAGAAATCGCCTTCCCTGGACACTGAAACAGAAACATTGGTAACCAGCAACCAGATTACAAACACCGCAATACGGATGCGACCACACCTCGCTCCTAATTCAGAGGGCAGTGTCGGCATGCTCGCGTCTCAGAGCCTTACGCAGCCCGCCCGTCCACTTCTCACTCCAGCAGCTGGTATCGCGCCACGTTCCGACTTGCAATGTCCGCGAGGGCACCCTGACCTTGGACGTCGTTACGGCCCGGGTGCAGGTACCACGCGACCTTCATTCCGGGCGACCACCGGAACTCCGGGTTCAACGACCCTCCGTAACTTCATAGACGAGGGAATAAGGGAACCAAATGCTAACAGTCGCACAAATGAGTGCACAAGAGGGATGTATGTCGCCACTTATCGGATTTCGGCTACATCTGGCGCTGCGTCTGCATAGAGCTCGCACTGTCATGGGCCTCGCAACTTTCTACAGTAAAAACAAACAAAAATGGAATTTGTTTTGCAAAAAGAAAACATCTGCAACTTTAATTTGAAACAATTTTCTAATTCTGGGACAGCTTCGCAACAATTTGTCACGTCCATTTCGTACTGCGCCAAGTCACAGTAACACACTTAAATTGAGATTTCGGTGCCTTCGTCTTATTTACTGCATGATCCTCCTCGGGCACTCCAAGGGCAGATATTCAAGCAGACAGTTCTGCCAAGCTCTCTGTCCGCGCGACGCGCTTTCCTTACGCGTTCGCAAAAAACTGACGGACATATCCACACGCGCTCACACTCAGACCCGAGATGAACGGATGACGTCACGTCTGCCGACTGGACCACACCTAGGAGGAGAGCGGGAGGCAAACTGCTGGAAACGGATCTGAATTCCCTGGCAATTGGTATCTGCTTCCGGGTCAGATTTATGTTGTGACCCTGTGGGTCGGGACACAGTGAAACCCTAAACACTTACGTAAGTGCACGCTGTGCACGCAACACCTCAAAGCCCTGCTAATCCGGATCGAAATCCGAACAACGAACAATGCTCTTCACAGCTGAGCACATTCTTTACAAGACACGTGGCATTTAGGAAGGCAGATGACACTTGTCTCTTCAGACAAAACTTGACGGTTGCTTCAAAGCTGCATCATTACGTTCAGAAACAAGTACAGTTTCTGTGTCTTCTACCGGTGAAAAAATGCATTGTCTTTTACGGCTTTTAAATAAGGGCTCTACAGTGATATTTTGTTACTTATTTTCATCAGCACTGCTTATTTCATTACATTTCCCATTTACTTGTACTCTAAGTTTTTTTTTTTTACTTTTAGAGATACCTTTCGCGTCACTAATCCGGATGATCCCCTTCCCCCACTGCTTCGGATTAGCGAGGTTTGTACACACGCACACCCCGCTGCGTTTCCTCACACAGCGCGTTTATCTATGTCTTTCGTACGAACCTCACGATAAGCAGAGACTATGCACGTACACAAGGGCACAGCCGCACGACACTCTATAACAGAATTCCTCATTATGTAATTTCCAGGCATTCCTTATCCATTTTCCTCTTACGACACATGACGTCACGCAGCAGGAAGTGACAGCGACTCAGCGCGTGGGCAGTCGGGGAAGCATGACGTACTAGGAACGGGCACGAGATGAGTCGGACAGTCCGCGAATCGATGTCTATCCGTACCGGGAGTCTACACGGTGAGAGCCTAGTTCACAATGAGCCAATGGTTGTAGCACAGTCCTCCGAAACGGTTCCTTGGCACCTTCGCCTTAGTTCCAAGTCCCATGGAAGGTGCGGATGACGGTCCACGAAGCCTCTGTCAACCAGCCAGTACCACTAGTGTGGACAGAATGGCTAAACCAGAGAACACTGGGAAGACCGCTGGACGGGAAGTGTAAAAGAGGCTTCGTTCAGTGGCCTCAGTATGTGTCCTCCGATGGAAATCTCCGCACCTGATAAGACGTAGTCAAACAACCAATTGGCACCGCACTACAGAGACAGGCTATGTCAATGTCTATACACTCTACGTCACAGGAAACGTCATACCTTGTGCGGGCAATCCACAGGGGTACGTATACCGGAAGTATGCTAAAACAAATCTGGTGATTTTCTAATGACGATCTCCACTGGTGATGGCATACAGGCCTACCACCCAGCATGCAATGCAAACCTCACATCTTACGAGGCAAGTGAGTCCAACCCGCAACCACTATCACGACAGGCGCAAAGAGTGTACTGAACATTTGCATAATTTTGGTAAAATGGAACAAGGCTAAGATAAGAAAGATATGTAGCACACTCCGAGAAAAATTTAGTATCAATACCTGAGGGAAAGAGTTCACTTTGAAGAACTTGGAATAAATGGGCGGATAATATAAAAAAAAAGGTCGAAGAGCGAAAGAGACAGATGAAAACTGAATGAAGTCTTCACCTTCATAACTGGATTAGACTGTTGGCTTTTGTCGTCACAGCCATGAACTCTGACCACACAGCGTCCAGTCACTGGCTGGAAAGCTACAAGTCGTGGTCTGAGGTGCAATTCCGGCAAACACCTCGAGTGTCTGGGGCTGATACTGAACTCCGCGGTGCCAGAACACACGCCGGGCTCGCTTGGCACAGGAATATTATTATTACGGCTGGATCGTAAAGGAGGGGAATTCGTCGACCAGCTGAACGACGCCGTAGCGCCATGTTATGACGTCACATATTGTTGTAACCCACTTCGGCGTCGGTCGGATCAATACGGCACCTGCTGAGGGGCGCCGGCAGGCGGCCCACAGAGCCACAAATCTGCGCGCTAAAACATCTGAAAAATGACGACGCACCGCGCGTCTCTTATATAGCATACAGATGATGTCCTGGAGGATAATATTAAAATGCATCTGACAAGAACAGGGTGTGAGGATGTGGACTAATTCGTATAGCTCAGGATACGGACCTGTGGCACGCTCTTGTGAACACGGCAATGAACCTTCGTGATAAAAGAGGGAAGAGAGAATTTCACTAGCTGAACAACTAGCAGCTTCTCACCTTGTTCATGTTGTTAGATGATTTCCAGTTTATAGAACTAGAACACTGCCAAATTTCATCACTATCCGTCGAGACAGAACAGAGCTGTTTCACGTACCAAGTAGCAACGAGTTACAGTAGTCTGAACGTGTTAATATGAATTGGGTTCAGCTGGCTCGGCACGTTTTCACTGTAGCGTGATGTCATTCTTAGGGACCCTGAGGCTCACAACAGCCTGCCATCTTCACGGCGCCGTCGGCAACTAGACTATATACCCTCCAAAGGTAGGATAACAGACCAACGATCTACTGGAAAGCTTGGACGCAAGTGGTCGTGGCCGCATACTATCTAACCATTTGCCTGGAGGGACTGATAAAAACCACGAAAAAACCTCAACCAGGAGCGCCGGTGTCCCAGCCGAGGTTCAACCCGAGCACCTCCCCAATACGGGTCTAGAGCGTTACCGTTATGCGAACCCCCTCAGTTGTCTTTCCCTGGGGTTTCCTACCCAAATTATTATGCACTTCTTGTATCTCCCGCCTATGACGTACGCGAAGCATGCAACGGCGACGAGTGGAAAATGGAAAGGAAAAGAAGCCATGCGACGGGCTTTCCCTGTCGCGTGAAAATTCCCGTGCAGCCCGCGAGACACGCATGGAACGGTAAATCGACCAGCTGATCGCATAACAAGTGGGCCACTGGTTCGAGGCCAAGTGTCTCCTCACCACTTGCTTCACAGCGTCTGCCGAAATGCGGTGAAGAGCAGCCGGAAGTCAAACCGGGTACCTCCCGACTGCAAGTACGTACGACGGTAGATGAGATGCAGAGCTTACCTCGGGGAGAACGGGGATGGGGGTGTTTACCAAAGCTGTCAGAAGCTAGTCTAATTGTTGTCTGATCTGTTTTCGGTCATTTTTATTGTTGCATAGAGTCGACTGGAAGGAACTGGCTGTGGCCCAATCCTGGTACTGTCCCGGCATTTGTTTGGAGGGACTGAACAAAAAAAAAAAAACACGAAACTCCCCAGTCAGGATGGCAGGTGTATCGGCAGAGATTCGAAGCGAGCACCTCCCAAATACGCAACAAGAGCGTTGAAGGCGTGGAATGGCACGAGGGGTGCATCCGAAGGAGTCGGGAACGCAGAGGTGC